CTGATTTGGGGTATAAAGCTTTAAATAAAAAAGGAGGGGTCTGAGCTCATGTGGGACCCGGCAGCTACTGTCTAAACTAAATACCATGGATTATCAAGGATTATCTCTGAAACAGTATGGAGCTCAAAGGCTTTCTCTCTTGCCGGTTATACCACAAGGTGAGTTCCTTTTTACTTCCTGCTTCTTCACACACATGCTCTCCAGTACAGGTTAGCTCTGAGTGTTAGCCATGCTAATGTAAACACCGACCATATTACGTCCAAAACAGTCGGGCATTGTTTCTGATAACAACGTTTCTGATTGGCCCGTGGGTCCACATTTCAGATATGACGTCATATCGGACGCAAATCTGGATCAGCTCCGTTGTTCCCCCGTTTTTAGAGATTTGGGTACGGAGGAAAAGAGAGAGGGTTTTATTTTCTGACGCTGCGTGAGTTCCCCGACACACCGGGGACACATGTTTATGTATAAAAGACATCAAAAAAAGTGCATTTTGCATGATAGGTCCCCTTTAACATATTTGAATTCCTTGTCAGCTTTAATTCAAGGGAATCTCATTAGGATCACTGTAGATGTTTTATCTTGTTCTGTATTTATTTAAATATTGTTGTTATGTGTTCTGTAAAGCACTTTGGGCTGCTTTGTGCATGAAAGGTGCGATACAAATAAATTGTATTAATATTATATATTATATATTATATAAAAACACGTACAAATATCAAAATGTTATGCTCAACTAGTATTCAAAGCCAGTGCAAAGAGGTGAGTGAGGGCTGCTCGATTATGGCAAAAATCATAATCTCGATTATTTGGGTCAATAATTGCGATTATTCATTGACTTTGAAAACATCCATTTATTGGAGAAAAAAAAATTTGAACAGTATGTTTTTAACAGTTGATTACCCTGAACTTTAAGTATAATTCAACTTAAAAACCAAAAAAAAAAAAAATAATAATAAAAAAAAAAAAAAAAATTATTGTTTTATTTTGATTACGTTATTTTCGTAATCGTTGCAAGCCATAATCGTAATCGCGATTAAAATACGATTAATTGAGCAGCCCTAAGGTGAGTTTTTAGCTAAGATTTAAAAAGTTCAATAGACTGAGCAGTCCGGATTTGTAAATATTGCGTTTACCTGTTCAGACTCTGGGCTCAGAGCGTACTGGATGTTGCATTCTCCCACAATGCCGAGGTGCCGGATGACTTTGATGGCGGTTTTTCTCAACATGTTGTACTCGTGGTCGTTGAGCGTCTGACTGGGCGCCACCACGATGGATTCTCCAGTGTGGATGCCCAGAGGGTCAATGTTCTCCATGTTACACACCTAAAATAAGTTTAGTTCATTAGTTGATAGTGTCGTGGACAGTCCCCATTGATCAACTGTCACAAAAAACAGTAACAACTTTAGCCAACATTGCTAATTTCCATCTGTTGTCCCCGGCCAGATGATAATGGACACCTTTTTAAAATCACAATACATCAACAGCATTAGTTATAAAGACAGGATGAAAGAGAACAATAAAATGCAAACACACACGTTACTACATGTCATATACAGCACATCACAATCACATAAGGAAATACAATTACGTTATTATTCTTAAGTTTCTGTCTAGACAATTTTTCAGAAAACTTGATGGAAGGGTCCACGAAAGAGTCATTTGAATTTTGAGGCAGAAACGATTAATGGGGCGATAGACATGGACGCGGGAAGGGGTGGTGCTGAGGGGGCTGCAGCACCTACAGTGTACGCGTGCCACAGTTTTGATGAGCTCGTCACAGTTTCGCAGCTGCTAGGCCCCACTAGCACCTCCCCTCCCGCAACCCCCAACTCAGAGTGACTTGCCGCGTCCCTGGCGATAGAACAGTTATTTTTCATCTAAATGAACACTGCCAGAAATGGCATTTGTGCTGCATTCATATGGTGTTAGCATGTTGGTACATGACTTGCCAAGTTGACGTCATCTTACGCTAGAGAGCATATTGTAAAAACTGATATTGCAATATTTTCTCACCTGGCAAAATATCCTGTATATGAAAAGATACAGGAGTTATCTAAACATCTATATAACAACCACAGCCCCCGGTAGACCCCCCCCCCACACACACAACAAACACCTCTTGTTGTTAAATGCCAACCAACTATGTGCAATATTTATATATATATGCCGTTAATAACTGTGCAATGTATACCTGGCTGCTAAATCCTAAGAACGGTTACAGGATGTGTATTATATATTTTTTTATTCATGCATGCTTCTTAGGTCACATTAATCTGTCTTTGGCTCTTTTCTGCTGTAACAATGTAAATGTCCCCTCTGTGGGACGAATAAAGGTATTCTGATCCTCCTCTGTGTCCTCTTTACTCACAGTGATGCAGTTGTCGTAGGCATCGCGGACCACTTCGTACTCGATCTCCTTCCAGCCTTTCAGGGATTTGTCCACCAGGACCTGGGAGGTGTGGGCGAAGGCGGCGGTAACCAAGGTGACCAGCTGCTCTCTGTTGTTGGCGAATCCCGAACCCAGACCCCCGAGAGCGAACGCTGAGCGAACCATCACGGGGTAACCAATACGTGCTGCAGCCGCCACCGCCTGGAGAGACAGAGATTCAGATCAGAGATGGCAGAAGTACACACATCTTTTACTCGAGTAGAAGTACAGATACTCGTGTTTAAAAATACTCTGGTGAAAGTAGAAGTACTGACTAAACTTCTTTACTCAAGTCAAAGTAAAGAGGGCTTTGAAATGTACTTCAGTAAAAAGTACCCATAACTAGCAGCTGTTTTAAAGAGTACCTGACCTCCCTTTATATTAATAGAACAATAATGTCATTGTTAGCTAATGAATGTTTCCATGCTGACCAACGGCAACATGACAACGTTTCCATTG